TTTAAAGCAGATGCTAAATACTGTTTTAAATGAGACTAATGATTACTAAAAACTCATAGCAAAATTAATTTTACTTTAATTGTTCTACATGCCTCGGTAGAAACCCATACAAAATTCTCATTAACACTCTCAAATACATTGGCAAAATAAGCTAAATTATATTGTTTACTTATAGTTTTAACTTTTAAATTTGTTGCTAGTTTTTAATGTAATGTTTTAATGTAATTTAATGTTTTAACATAAATAAAAAGGTCAGAAATGGTTAACACTGTGAAGTGCTTAATTTTACTTTTCAGTAACACTTGAATAAAACATTTAGACATTCTTGCTTAAAAGTTTGGTTTTTGTATTGTATTTTAAAAATAAAACTCTATAGTTATTACACTTCTTCCAAATTATCATTATTATTCTTGACAATGCTTCTATTAAATATACTCTAAGAAGTTTTTATTTTAATTAAATGGCTTATACTTTCTGTATATTGCATCCTAAGTTCTCTGTAACCTCATAATTACAACATATAAAAGCAGCTTATTTGGAGTAAATAAAAATACACATTTTGTTACCTGAATTCTTGCTTTTGGAATATAACACCTCAAACTAGAATTAATGGTTTAATTGACCTTCCTAGTAGATACTAAAAAAATTAAAATCAGGAATAGGTATCTATAATACTTATCTAGATATCAGATACTTCTGATGTTTGGAAAATGGTATAAGAAATCCTTAAATAACCAGAGCATGAACTTTAAAACTCCATTTTATCTGATGTTCTTTGAGGCTACCCTCTTTGTTACAAAACAAAGAGAAGAGGAGTCACTATGGGGCAGTTTGTCAGAGACATGAAGGGAACTACCCAGGAGGCCCTGAAAGCATTCATTTCCTTCTTTTGTTTATACTGGAATATTGTGACCCATAGACAGATAGTTCTGGTTGATTGCCATGAATGTTATGGGAGAAAGATTCTGGAATGGTCGATGTATACAATACTTAGATTCCACAGGGATTCCCCCCACCAAAAAAAAAAGGGGCATAAATGCAGGAAGAAAAAAAAAATGGGATCAGGAAATGGACTTGCTCTCTCTACAATCCTGTCTCACTGACTGTCATTCTAATTCATACAACCAGGACAACACAAGAGATGTTGGTTGCTATAAAGAATTTTAATAATCACTATGCATCTTTTATTTATAGTTAACTCAAGATTTCCCTCAAGTAAAGGATTACTTAACAGTGGGAGTCCTAATCATGATTATCATAGCAGGCACTCATCTGAAGGACTACATGGTTATTGAGGTGGCTTAATCTACAGGGAAGGAAAACAAAGTGGAACTCATAATTTAATACAAATGGTCAAGGAAAAGAGAAAATGCCGCTAGAATAAACTAGATTCCTAATGCTTTCCAATTACAAAAATGGAAAACTATAATACTAACTTTTTAATTTATGGTTACCCAGGATAAAAAATAAAATTAAGTGCTAAGCATACAGCAATGGTGTGATCTTCAGAAACAGAGGATAAGAAAGATGCCAACTAGGTTTATTTTGAAAATTCAATAAAAAAAAATTTAAGAGAAGTTCATTAAAAGTATTACAGCGTTTAATTCCTATATCATGATACATTACAGTTAACTGAAACTAAGTCTATGTAACATGTGTTTTCATAAATGTTGCACATCAATTTTTTTAAAAACTGCATAACATTTTCTTGCTGGGTAGTATTTTAAGCAGATAAGCATCTTAATTTTAAAATTAATCTTCAATAGCTCTAAAGATTTAGTTTTAAAATTTCTCTGCTACTTAATCTCTATTAAAAAAAAAACCAAGGCTCTCTGTACTTCTCTATGTCACCTATACTAATGTTTCTAAAACTTCTGAGATCATGGATTACCTTGATAATCTAATCAGAATGATAATAGATGTGCGCTGTCTGAATGGTAGCCATTGGCCACATGTAACATAGCTATTTACATTGAAAATAATTAAAATTAAATAAAAATAAAAATTCAGTTCCTCAGTTACATTAGCCACATTTCAAATACCGAACAGCACATTTGTCTAGTGGCTACTATATGAGACAGCACAGAAACAGAACATTTCCATCATTTGCAGATAGTTCTGTTGGCACTGAATAGATTCTCTCTTGTGGAAAAAAAATGCAAATATGCATATAACATTGGAGGAGGATTGGGGCATGCCTAAACTCAGGACTTCCAGATTAAAACATCCCTTTAACTAAAGAGAATTTCCTTCTTCCATGCATTTATTTTTCTCAGACTATATTTGATCCAATTTGCATTTTCCCATGAGATTAAAATTCACTATACTTACCTGATCCTTCTGAGCTTTGAATTTTCCTTATCCTATCATCCCACCCTAAGATCTGAATGGCAATCTTTAAGACAACTTCCAGGAAAAAAATTGCTAAGAGCTTTTTAAGACAGCTTGGCACAGTTTTCTCAAAGATTTTAAAACCCTACTTACGAAAAGACT